CAGCCCCGCCTTCGCTCGCAGCGGAAGCCTCCGCCGCCGCCATAACGAGGACTCCACAGGCCCAACGCCCTGCTGCAAGCTGCTCTCTTTGGGAGGGCTCGGCTCCTTCCGGCCCCGCTCGACCCCACTTCCGGTCGCTCTAGCCTCCCCAGCCGCACTCGGCTCTTTCCGTACGGTGGTCCGGGCCCATCCTGCAGGTGAGGGAAGCCGCGCGTCCCCGCGGTCCCCGCCTCCGATCAAGGGCCAATGGCGTCTCCTCCTGGGTGGGGCACGCCCGATCGCGCCCTCGAGACGGGCGGGGCCTCCGAAGCCTGGCCGTTGTTTGGACGGTGGCCCGGAACCTAGAGGCATCTGGAGCCAATCAGAAGCGTCGAGGGCGGGCGCGTCCTCCGCCTCCCGGCGGTGGCGGAAGACGGGCTGAGCGTCGTCGAGCGCTGGCGCGAAGCGTATTCAGCGCCCGTCGCGTGATCGTAAGCCTCTGTACCTCACTTTCCAGCAAAAATTAAAACGGGCTGGGAAGGTGGCTCGGGGTGGCTGGGAGGACAGGCGTGGCCCCGAGACCCGACATTCACACACCGACTGGAGGAGGTGCCCTTAGCTTAGCGGAGGAACACTGTTGATTAGAAACACGGCGGAGGGGGGTGGTGCTGTTGGTGTTTGTTTTTGCTTTGGGTTTTTTTCTCTTATGGAGGGAATAAGGGAGGCAGAAAAAGTAAACAAATGCAACCATCCTATTCAGTATACACCGTGGAAAATGACCTCTGCAGCTTGTGTGCAGGGAGGGAGGGGAAACTGGAGGAAAGTAGAGGAAGCAGAGAAATGTATTCATTACCTGATTTATGAAATGGTAGCTCTTCTGTGCAAATAATAACAAAATTATTTTTTGGTCGGTCGTGGGGCCTGAAGTCTGGGCCTGGGCGCTGTCCCTCAGCTCTTCAGCTCAAGGCTAGCGCTCTACCACTTGAGCCACAGCACCACTTCCGGCTTTTTCTGCTTATGTGTTGCTGAGGAGTCGAACCCAGGGCCTCATGCATGCAAGGCAAGTGCTCTACCACTGAGCCATCTTCCCAGCCCCAAAATGATTAAAAAAACAAAACAAAACAAAAACTCACTTTTCTGTGTACCAACAGCAAACAGGCTAAGAAAGAAATCAGAAAATTCCATTTACAATAGCCACAAAAGCACAGACTATCTGGGCATAAACAACCATTATGCAGCTAAAGGACTTCATAATAAAAAATATAAAACCTTAAAGAAATTGAACACAGCCAGGCATCGGTGACTCACGCCTGTAATTCTAGCTACTCAGGAGGCTGAGATCTGAGGATCGGAGTTCAAAGCCAGCATGGGCAGGGAAGTCTGTGAGACTCTTATCTCCAATAAACCACCAGAAAACTGGAAGTAGCATAGTGGCTCAAGTGGTAGAGCTGAAGAGCTGAGGGACAGTGCTCAGGCCCTGAGTTCAATCCCCATGACCATCAACAACAACAACAAAGTTACAGTTATCTGCTGTGTGTGTACACCAGTACTAAGAAATGAACTAAGGGCCTAAGTGCTGTCCCTTAGCTTTTTTGCTTAAGTTTAGTGCTCTACCACTTGAACTACAGGTCCACTTCCAACGTTTTGGTGGTAATTGCAGATAAGAATCTTAGGTAGACAGGCACTGGTGGATCACGCCTGGGGAGACTGAGTGAGATCTGAGGATCAGGGTTCAAAGTCAGCCTGGACAGTGTAAGGTCCGCTCCTGGATAGTGAGCAGACTCCACCCTCCTCGCAGCAAAGTCTCCACCCAGTACCTGCATTACCTAGGCAACTGGCACACCTGCAAGAGGTCACATCTGCATCTGCTGAAGGTCACATCTGAATTTGATGTGGCCACACCTTTCTCCGCCCATACCCTAGATAAGGCCTAGCCCAGGCCCAGACGCCCTCTTTCCCAGATCTCTTTCCCAGACGTGTGGAGGGCCAACATGGCCTGATGCCAACCGGAACAATGAATAAACCTACCCCTTACTTGAATACCACATGGGTGGTGTGGTTCTTACTTGGCAACCTCTTTTCAAAAACCTAACAGGCAGCAAAGTCTGTGGTTCTTACTTGGCAACCTCTTTTTAAAAACCTAACAGGCAGCAAAGTCTGTGAGACTCTTATTTCCAGTAAACCACTAGAAAACTGGAAGTGGTGCTGTGGCTCAAGAGGTAGAGCGCTTGCCTTGAGCTGAAGGGCACAGGGACAGTGGCCAAGCCCAGAGTTCAAGCCCCACAACAACAGCAACAAAAAATTTCAAGTATACTGGGTGTCAGTGGCACCCAGCTAGTTCCTTATCTGTAACTTTGTACAAAAATCAACTCCAAATGTATCAAAGGTCTAACCTACCTTCCTTCCTTTCTTTCTTTCTTTCTTTCTTTCTTTCTTTCTTTCTTTCTTTCTTTCTTTCTTTCTTTCTTTCTTTCTTTCTTTCTTTCTTTCTTTCTTTCTTTCTTTCTTTCTTTCTTTCTTTCTTTCTTTCTTTCTTTCGAACTCGGCCTGGGTGCTGCCCCTCAGTTCTTCAACTCAAGGCTAGTACTCTCCCACTTAAGCCACAGCGCCAGAATTTCTGGTGGTTTATTGGAGATCAGAGTCTCACGGATTTTCCTGCCCAGGCTGTTTTTTCATTTTCTTTTTTAATTTGCCAGCATCACTGTTTATTAATAGACCCAGTTACAAAAATAGCTTGGCAAGCTGGGCACCAGTGGCTCACACCTTTAATCTTAGCTATTCAAAAGGCTGAGATATGATGATCATGGTTCAAAGCCAGCCTAGGCAGGAAAGTCCATGAGACTCTTATCGCCAATAAACCAGAAAACCGGAAATGATGCTATGGCTCAAGTGGTAGAGCACTCACCTTGAGCTGAAGAGCTCAGAGACAGCGCCCAGGCCCAGAGTTCAAGCCCCATGACAGACAAAAAACTAAAAATAACATGGCAGCCGGGCGCTGGTGGCTCACGCCTGTAATCCTAGCTACTCAGGAGGCTGAGATCTGAGGATCGCGGTTCAAAGCCAGCCCGGGCAGGAGAGACCATGAGACTCCTATCTCCAATAAAACCACCACAAAACTGGAAGTGGTGCTGTAGCTCAAGTGGTAGAGCGCTCGCCTTGAGCTGAAGAGCTGAGGGACAGCGCCCAGGCCCAGAGTTCAAGGCCCACGACCGACAAAAAAAAAAAAAAAAAACCATGGCAGACACCTCAGTTAATCCTTCTAATAAGCCTGTTTATCTATTCCTCCCTTTTGCCAGCATCTCCATCTTCTACAAAGGGAGTGATCTTCATGCCACCTCGTGGAGAAGATAACTTGAAGGGCCACAGGAAATTATTTGCTTCTTGACGCATTTTACAACAGTATGGATCTCACGAATCAGATCATCCATGCAGATGATACCATATTTACCAAGAGATTGAGCAACCAAAGCCTTATCTGTTAAGGCAATTTGCTTCTTGTTAATTTTGCCATAACCAGGCTTGTAGATGAGCTCATTTACTGACTTTGGGTTTGGGTACCCCATGTAGTATATGGTTCCATAACCCTCAGTAACTTAATTGAAGCCTTGTTGAGCTTAACAAAGGTACCACTGAAGATCTGGCAAAGGCAAAGGAGGTGCAACACCTTATGGACTTTTGGATTCACACCATCTCTGATATCTCTGATTCTGATGACAAATGCCAATTTAGTCTCTGCAGGTACATAGAGGTTGCTCGCTTCTCTGGCCACTGTAGCCTTTCGGATGTCAGCTCTGTATGTTTGCCTGTATTCTTTGTGATAATGCTTAGCTTTCTCAGAGATGAGCTTCTCCTTGCCTTTCTCAGAGCTGAGCTTCCTCCTTTCTTTCGAAGCATCTTCTGAGCACATTTCTTTCTCAGGCACTTTGTTTTCAGCTCAGCAAAATTCCTTTGCTTTCTCTTAAGTGTCCCTGGCATAGCAGGAACCTTCTTTTTCTTCTCTTTGGCACCCTCCATGGCTCCAGGTGAAAAAGAGCCCAGCTGGCTTTGAACTACAATCCTCAGATCTCAGTCTCCTGAGTAGCTAGGATTATAGGCTTATAGGCCTGAGCCACTGGTGCCCAGAAAGGTCTAATTTTTTTTTTTTGTCTGAGGCTGGGACTTGAACTCACTACCTGTCATTTTCACTCATTGGCTAGTGACTACCAACTGAACTACACTTCCAACCTCTCAAAGATCTAAATGTAATATCTGAAACTACTAGAGAAAAACATAGGGAAAACTCTGGAAGATATAGACACAGGTAATTATTTATGAATGTGACTCCAATTGTTCAGAAAGTAAGAGCAAGAAGGAACAAACAACTGCATCAAAGTAAAAATGTGTGTACAAAATATTGCAAAAGAAACAAATAGGGCTGGTAAGGTGGCTCAGTGGTAGAGCGCTTGCCTTGCATGCATGAGGCCCTGGGTTCAATTCCTCAGCACCACATAAACAAAAAGAAAAAAGCCGGAAGTGGCACTGTGGCTCAAGTGGTAGAGCGCTAGCCTTGAGCAAAAAAGCTAAGGGACAGTGCTAAGCCCTGAGTTCAAGCTCCAGTACTTCCACAGGACAAAAATTAAACTTATTAGTAGGGGCTGGAAAGGTGGCTCAATGGTAGAGTGCTTGCTTAGTATGCATGATGCCCTGGGTTTGATTCCTTAGTACCACATAAACAGAAAAGGCTGAAAGTGGTACTGTGGCTCAAGTGGTAGAGTGCTAGCCTTGAGCTGAAGAGCTGAGGGACAGTGCCCAGGCCCAGAGTTCAGGCCCCACGACCAGACCCCCCCAAAAAAAAAAACATTGTGTGAGCTGGGAATGTGGCTTAGTGGTAGAGTGCTTGTCTAGCACTCAAGAAGCCCTGGGTTATATTCCTCAGTACAACAAAAACAGAAAAAGCTACAAGTGGCACTGTGGCTCAAGTGGTAGGGTTGCTAGCCTTGAGCAAAAGAAACTCAAGGACTCTCCAGTCCCTGAGTTCAATTTCTAGGACCAGCAACACACACACACACACACACACACACGACTTACGTGGGTGGTCTAAGAAATTGCACTGAAAGTCGTTGAACAAGGGGGTAGGGAACGAATACATAGGAAACAATAGAAGATATTATTCTGATTAAAAGGTAATATATGCACTGCAAAATACCATGATGAAACTCCTTGGTACAGTTAATATCACAAAAAGAAATTTGAGTTTGGTGTTTTTGGTGGGAAGGTTTTGTGTGTGTGTGTGTGTGTGTGTGTGTGTGTGTGTATGTGTGTGTGGTGTGTGTTGGTACTAGGGTTTGAATAAGCCCACAGCTGGTAGATGCTCTTTCACTTGAGCCACACCTCCAGTTCTATGTGGAAATTGGGAATTCACTTTCTTTTTTTAATTTTTATTTATTTATTTTTTGCCAGTGCTGGGGCTTGAACTCAGGGCCTGGGCACTCTCATTGAGCAGCTTTTGCTCAAGGCTAGCACTCTACCACTTGAGCCACAGTGCCACTTCCGGCCTTTTCTGTTTATGTGGTACTGAGGAATCGAACCCAGGGCCCCATGCATGCTAGGCAAGCACTCTACTGCTGAGCCACCTTCCCAGCCCAAATTCACTTTCTTGAAGAGCTGTTTTCTGGTGGATAATTGGAAGTCCAAGAGACTCTTTTTTTTTTTTTTCTTTGTTGGTCATGGGGCTTGAACTCTGGGCTTGGGCACTGCCCCTCAGCTCTTCAGCTCAAGGCTAGTACTCTACCACTTGAGCCACAGTGCCACATTTGGTTTTCTGGTGGTTTATTGGATAAGTGTCTCATGGACTTTCCTACCTAGGCTGGCTTTTGAACCATGATCCTTAGATGTCAGCCTCCTGAGTAGCTAAGATTACAGGTGTGAGCCACAGGCACTGGCCTCTTTCCTCTTAAAAACAAAAACAAAGGGCTGGGAAGTGGCTCAGTGGTAGAGTGCTTGCCTTGTATGCATGAGGCCCTGGGTTCGATTCCTCAGCACCACATAAGCAGAAAAAAACGAGGAAACAGCACTGTGATTGAAGTGGTGGAGCGTTAGCCATGAGCTAGCTGAGGGGCAGCGCCCAGGCCCAGAGTTCAGGCCCCATGACTGACAAAAATAAAAAAAAGCACAAAAACTTAGGTTTAAACTGGGTGTCTGTGGCTTGTGCCTGTAATCATAGCTACTGAGGAGGATAAGATCTGAGGGTCACGGTTCAAAGATAGCCTAGGTATAAAAGTCTGTGAGACACTTATCTCCAATTAACTACTAAAGAGCTGGAAGTGGAGCTGTGGCACCAATGGTAGAAAGCTCAGGATTAGTGCCCAGCCCCTGAGTTAAAGCCCCAAGACCTGTACCCCCCCAAAAAATGGGGTAAAAATGAAAAAGTATAAAGAATAATTAAGCAGCTTGAAAATAATCAAGCTGAAGTTCAAAAAGGAAGTTTTAGTGCATGATCTTTTTGTTTTCTTTTTTTTTTTGTTTTGGTCGGTTGTGGGGCTTGAACTCTGGGCACGGGCACTGTCCCTCAGCTCTTCAGCTCAAGGCTAGCACTCCATCACTTGAACTACAGCACCACTTCTGGTTTCTGAATGGTTTATTGGAGAAAAGTCTCAGGTGGACTTTCCTGCCTAGGCTGGCTTTGAACAGAGTTCCTCAGATCTCATCCTCCTGAGTAGCTAGGATTAAGGCCTGAGCCACCAGCGCCCAGCTAGTGCATGCTCTTTTGCAGTACTTGGGAGGCTGAGGCAGACGTTTGAGAGTTCAGTATAATCAGCCTGGGATACATAGCAAGATCGTCTCAAAAAATAGGTAAGCAAATAGAGACCTGTTTATAATGTCTTTAATGGCCAAGAAATTTCCATACTGATAAGAGATTCATATAGTTAAGATCTGTTACCCTTAGGGAGAAAAAAAGTGTGAAATGAATCCATACCAAAATTCAGCTGGTGTACTGTGATTTAAGTCTTATCTCTAGACCAGATTTTGCTAGTTAATTGGAGATGGAATCTCCATGGAGTCTCTGCCTGGGCTGACTTCAAACTGAGATCCTTTGGCTCTTAGCCTCAATCCTGTAGCTAGGATTAAAGACGTGAGCCACCAACGCCAGGTTTTAAGTTTTGGTTTTTGTACTAAGACTTGAACTTAGGGCCTTGCACTCTCACTTTTTTTTTTTAATCACTCAGGGCTGACTACTGCTTTAGCCACAGCTCCATTTTCAGCATTTTTACTGGTTAATTGGAGGAAATAAGAGTCTCTAGGATATATCTGCCTAGGCTGTTTTTAAACCTTTATCCTAAGATCTCAGCCTTCTGAGTAGCTAGGACTACAGGTGGGAACCACTGGCTTAGTTTTTTTTGGCCTGTCTTGGGGCTTGAATTCAAGAGCCTGTTCACTGACCCTGAGCTTCTTTTGCTCAAATCTAGCACTCTACCACTTGAGCCACAATGCCACTTCTGTGCTTTTTCTGTTTATGTGGTACTGAGGAATCAAATCCAGAACTTCATGCATGCTAGGCAAACACTCTACCACTAAGCCACATTATCAGCCCCTTACTTGAAGTTTTGATGTGGTTTTTTTTTTTTTTTTTTTGGTCCAGTCGTGGGGCCTGAACTCTGGGCCTGGGCACTGTCCCTCAGCTCTTCAGCTCAAGGCTAGCACTCTACTACTTGAGCCACAGCGCCACTTCTGCCTTTTTTCTTATGTGGTGCTGAGGAATCGACCCAAGGGCCTCGATCATGCAAGGCAAGTGCTCTACCACTGAGCCACCTTCCCAGCCCCATTGATGTTTTTTTTTCTGGTAGTACTAAGCTTTAAACTTAGTCTCATATCGCCAGGCAAACACTCTATCACTTGAGCTACACCCCAACATGTACTTTAAAATTTTTAATTAGAAGGCCAATTTGAACCAGGTGTGGTGGCACACACCAATAATCTCAGCACTCTGGTGGTGGAGGCAGGAGGATCACAGGTTCAAGGTCAATCTGGACTGTAAGACGTTGTCTAAGTATTTTAAGCTGGGGACTAATACTGCCAAAGGACCAGCATGCGCACACGTGCATGTGCGCACACATATACACATTATAATTTGTTGGAAGGTGCAGGAAAGTGGTGGATGGTAGGAAAGTAAGGATAGCATTCTGACAGCTACCTTATCATTATCTACCCTGTTGTGGTCTGTGCAGCAAAATTGTACCAAGAACCTTGATATTAGCCCAGGAAGCATAGCTTGATTAGAGTGTTTTTTTGTGCTTGTACTGGGGCTTGAACCCAGTGCCAGAGCTTTCCCTGAGCTTTTTTTGCTCAAGGCCAGTGCTCTACCGCTTGAGCCACAGCCCCATTTCTGGCTTTCTGGTTGCAAATTGGATGTAAGACTCACACTTTCCTGACTGGGTTGGCTTCAAGCCTGGTTCCTCAGATTTCAGCCTCTTGATTAGCGAGGATTACAGGCATGAGTCAGCAGCGTCTAGCTCTCTGCTTAGTTTGAGAGATTCTGAAATACGCTGAAGGGAATTCTTATCTCTCTTAAGATGTCATACATTCAGGAGTGAGATAGGCTGGGTATCTCAGATGGCCAGTGATACTTAAGTGTCCTCAGCATCTCCAATGTTTTCTTTTTTTTTTTTTTGTCGGTTGTGGGGCTTGAACTCTGGGCCTGGGCGCTGTCCCTCAGCTCTTCAGCTTAAGGCAAGCGCTCTACCACTTGGAGCCACAGCGCCACATTTGGTTTTCTGGTGGTTCATTGGAGACAAGAGTCTCACAGACTTTCCTGCCTAGGCTGGCTTTTGAACCATGATCCTTAGATGTCAGCCTCCTGAGTAGCTAAGATTACAGGTGTGAGCCACAGGCACTGGCCTCTTTCCTCTT